TAACACCCATGGAGCTGTCATCTCCTATGATAACAGTGCCTTCTTCTGGAATCCCTCCTGAAGGACCTGCCTGAGGCTCTTTTACAGTTAACGTCCTCCCCCATTAGTAGAAGGAGTACACTCTAAAATAATGATTAAAAATTATTGTAAATACATAAGCAGTGATATAGCTATTTATTATGATTATCAAATATTATGTGGTGTAAATAATTATGTATGTTAGACTTTTATATGACAGTGCAGTAGGTTTATTTACACCACCATCACCACACACGTGAGTAATGTGTGATGCTATGATGCTACAAAGGCTACGAGTCACTAGCCAATAGGAATTTCTCGGCTCCATTATAATCTTTTGGGACCACCAGCATATATACTATCCATTGTTGACCAGAACATCATTATGTAGCACATGACTGTACAGTCACAATCTAAGGTATTGGTGGTTAGGGCTTCAGCATATGAATTTTAGGTGAACACAATTCAGTCCATAACACTATTTTATTAATACTACTATGGTAGTAGTTACCTACTCAATAGTAAAATCACTACCCTGGTAGATTTGTTGTCTGGCTAATCAGATGGATTTTTTAAAAAATAGGTATTTTTAGGAAGTGGATTGATTTCATGATGACAGCAGTGATCTCTTAGTCCATAGATTAGAAGCCAAAGAGTATGTTGTACCAGCCTCCTTTAGTTATGTATTTGGTTAATTCATACATTCATTTATTCATATATTCACTAAATACTTAATAAGGGCCTCCAGGCAGGGTGTTAGGAGCATGCAGTGAGGAGAATGCACACACAGTGCCTGCCACTGTCAAGTTACCTACATGGTATATATTGAAAACTTTTGTGTCTCTAGATTATAAAGAGAACTATTCCTCCAGGATATTAGCTCTTGGGAGGGATTGGTATTAGACCACAGTAGTTAGAAGCACTAACTTTGTGTTTTAAAAATTAATTAATTTTTAAAAGCCTTAAAGTCCTGGTTCTACCATTTCCTAGGAATGTGATGTTGACAGAATTATTTAACCCCCTTAAACCACTGTTCTCATTTGTAAAATAGGGGTCGTATAAATATTTCATAGGGTTAATTCATGATTAAGTGAGATAATGCATGTCATGTGCTAGGTACCTTGGAAGAGCTTAATAGAATAGTTACTGATGTTTCCTTTTTTCAATACATGTTAGAGGTGAAATTCAGGCGACATCTAACAACAACTTTATATATGTAGGTTTCTAATAATTGTAGAGATCTTTTGCCAATGCCTTGGGATTTGTTTGTTATAATTTATACCCTGCCAATTTCCAGAAAGGATTTAAAATAGCTGTGTAGCTTAGGAGTGTGTTCCAATTTGGAGATAGAAGCAAAAACACTGAACTAGAATTAATACTACCTTAGCACTAGAATTAGTTCTTTCAGCTAGCTGAAAGATCCAGGGGGACTGCAAAGTCTAGACTTTTTCTGTCAGATTATTTGCTTTGTTTATTAATTAGGAAATGGTCATTTAGATACTATTAGATTCCTGAGGATTGGTATATAATCTGTAAAGTCTTATAAGTTTGAAAATTATATTCTAAAAGCAGAAATATATAACCTGAATTTAACCTTGCTCCTGAATGAAATAATTACCACTCTCTCCAGAGGAAAATCTTTAATA